GGTGATTTATAAAGTAGGGAAGTAACTTTACTTTATAAAATTTATAAAGCAGAGCTACAACAAACCCCTACTGCCCAGTATGAAAGCTGGAACGCCCACTAGTGGGCAGTAGGGACCAGGTTGACTACCACTGCATTAGACTATAGATTGTTACAAACAGCATTACAGAGGTCAGTTTTTATATCAATGGGGAGAGCGACATTTATTCCAAGGTTTGACATGATTTCCAGGAGAAACTAATACAGATGGATTACTCACATGTGGGATTAAAGAGTGCTCTCTTTTTGTGGCTCTACGAGTAAATGAAGCATTTTTGCTTTATTCTCATTCCTTGAGCAGGACATTGAAATAGTTTGGTCTGCACTTCTTGGTTTCTTTACACCAAGCAGAATAGAAAGCCCAAGACAACTAAATTTCTAATCTCTCTGAAATCTTCAGGCACCCACACAAACCTGCTCAAACAGCTTCCCAAGAAATTCACTCCTGTAAATTGGCTGAATTCCATAAAGCAAACTCACAAGGAATGTTTGCTATCCTATCATTCATCAAGAGAAGTTTTCAATTCATTTTAAGAGTGACTTAAATAAGGACTTTGGGGAACGTAACATAGCAAGTGTGCTATAGCCAAAGATGAAAATAACAGCTGCTGCTGTTGTTAAGTATAATTATCAGAATTTGGCCAGAAATTGCATTTTAAGGTTGAGATAGGTAACTTGTGGCCCAGGTTTTCCCTCTAAAACCCTTGAGTCTCTCTCTCTCTCTCTCTCTCCCTCCCTCCCACCCTCCCTCCCTCTCTCTCCCTCTCACTCACTCACTCACTGTGCTTACTGAGAATTCAGCTTACCCCTATTCTGAGATGGGAAACATGAAAATTATAGCTTAAGTTCAAAGACAGGCGTTTTCAAAGAAAAACCCATCTCTTCAAAACTACCTAAAAACACCCAACCTTTGCCTACATGTGGGATATGGCTTCCTTCCCCTTTGCAGCCCATGTATGCCCAAAGGTATTAAGTAACATATTTTATAGCAAGTAAAAGGTTGTCATCCCGTTCTAAATCAACTGTAAATTTCTGTGTGTGCCTGGAAAACTGATTTATATTTATTTATACACGTTACTTACTCTCTTCTGGATCCTCGCTTGCTAGGGAATTAGTGGGAAGAGCCTGCACTGCTGCTCGTGTTTCACGGGTTGACTGCAGGGGCCCAATCCTGCTGTCTCGTTGCTGCTCCCATTCTGGGTTGAAACCTCCATCATCTACCTCAGGACCTGCATTCTGGTTTTGATTCACTGTAACTGAAAGACACAGGCATGTCTACTACACTCTTGTGCGAATCATCCAAATACATCATTAGATTATGTGATAGTTGATTGGTGGAAAAAAATGCTGCCAAAAACCAAGCTAACAAAAACCGAGTACTACACAAATGAAAAATAAGTTAGTGTGCACCCAAATCCTAATGTTTGCACATACAGGTAACTTGACTTATGACCACAACGGAGCCCCAAATTTCTGCTGCTAAGTGAGACACTTGTTAAGTGAACCACTTCACTTGTTAATTTAGTAACATGGTTGTTAAATATATTTCACAATGTGTAGTAGAGGAGAGAAGTAGAATTTTCTCTCCATTCTTCAAGATTTGTAAAAGATGACTTTTCTACATTTTACTCATTTTTTATGACTTATTTATTATTCGATTCTGACCATCTCAAGGTTGATTCAGACTTTCATCCTTCTGAGGTTGGTAAAATGAGGACCCAGAATGTTGGGAGGAATAAGCTGACTCTGTAAACCCCTTAAAGAGGGCTGTAAAAGCACTATGAAATGGTATATAAAGTGCTATTGCTATTTAATGGAAGCCTCTGTAGATTTCTTTTTAAAAAGGAGTTGAGGCATAAAAGTAGAAGCTGTGTTGTTAAAAACAGCATCCTTGTTAGGAAAATAAAAAGACCCAAGCCAATATTTGTAGAATTCTCTCCCCTCACTTGTTACAAGGATTCCTGGCAGTGAGTGGAAATAAAACTATCTCAGGACAAATGACAAGGAAACATTTTTTCTGGCAGAGGGATTCAAATCAGTGTGCACTGTTTATGCTTCATTGATGGACATGAATTCAGTATTTAAATAGTAAAACCCTTCGGTAAATATAAGGTTAACATGAAACTGCTTGACAATTCTTATTCTGCATTTCTCACACAACTTCACAAAGATTAAAAAAACAAACACCTCACCTTGCTGATTGTAAGTGGCATTTTTAGACGCTCCCTTCTGGGCCTCAGGATCTTGTTCAGCCATATTTACTAGCCATATCATTGTTGCTAATGGAAAAAAGAAGATCTCTAATTTATTGTTGCTTTGTGCTATTTAATCACATAATGATTATATATACGTACATTTCAAGCATTTAGCAACGTTCTGTTGTGTTGTATCCACAGAAAACTGCAGGGACCCTTGCAATGAATTCATCTAAGATGTTGTTAAAATGGAAGACAACTGCAAAGTTTCTTTTTTCTATTTGTGCTTTGTGCCCATTGTTATTAAATCTTAATACGATGGTACCTTGGTACCGGCTGTCTTGAAAGTCATCAAATTTGGTACTCAACACATTTTGATGTGAAAATTTTTGTCCCAGCACTTATCGTTTGTTTGGTACTCAATTCACAAGCTAGAACTCAGTGTTGGCTGTCTTGTTACTCATTACATTATTCCTTATGGGGGGGAAATTGTTTAGTACTCATTGTTTTAGGTACTCATCATGCCTCCCAGAACCAATTAATGATGAGTACCAAAGTACCACTGTAACAAATGAATACATACCACCTGGAAAATAAGGATTGCATTATACCTTTGTAAAACAGTATTTTAAAATTTTTATTAGCATAAATGCGTAATTAAATGACAGCAGACCCAAGAGATATTATACCCTAAAAAAAGATCTTTTTTAAAATGTGCACCCAGCTAAACAGGTGCTCTTCTTTAATCTTATAGTTCTATCATGGCCTCATTTCAGTACAAAAATGTACTGAAGGATCAGTTGATACATCCTCCCTCCCTCCCCCCCCCTCTCTGTGTATGTATGCTCCAGCATAACTCTAGAACCCTTTGAGCAATTTCAACCAAACTTGGTACACAGGTTATTTACCCTCTTGAAACAAATACTGTGGTGGGTAAGACACCCATAACACCCCTCAGGGTGTGTGTTCTGTTAAGATACAGTTTGTTGTGCCTTAAAATGGCTTCTACTGTACTGCCTTAAAATAGCTTCTACCATACAGCGGTGTGGAGTTGCCATGGTAATGGCTTCACAGTACTCCACAAGGGGGCTCCCCCTGGTAAATAAATACCCGGGCAGCACCGGGTTATCAGCTAGTTGTACCATAAAAGCAATCAAAATCCCTGAAATAGTCAAACTATTTTGGATCACGTAGGAGGATTTTTTCTTTTTAAGAGCAAATCTTTAAAAATACAGTATGTTGCTTAACTTCTGCTTAATTGCAAAGTTACCACAATAGGAAAACATATCATTAGTTTGTTATACTTAAAACATTAGATTTTTTTTGCTGTATCTCATTTTTGCTTCTGTAGTCAAAGGAAAGCTACTAACTGGAACATCTTATCCAGGCCAGGTTTTAAACTTTTGAGCACACAACAAAGACATGTTTTCTTATGAAAGGGAACTGTGACTGACAGTATCTAACATTTCATATCTTAATAGAAAATTAGATGAATTGTTTTCCCTCCATTCAAAGCAGGCATCAGATAATCTGTTCTTACATGAGTAAATGAGTGCTGGGAACAAAGTTTCATTTCTTTCTTGAGCTGTTTCTACTAGCATACGAAGAGGCCCTTTGGGAGACAATACTGCAATCAGATCTGAAAGAGAGATATTGAGATTATTTTAAAAAACTGGAAAAATGGATCCTCCGTGGTCAGAAAGAAATACTTAGTAATATGAATGTAATAAATTAGACTGCTTCATGGGACTTCCTTACAATATTTTGTGTACTGATAAAAAGACTGTAACATAAAAATATTGCTTGGTTCAAATCTATTTAATGGCCCAGCCTGTGATATGCCCCATATTTTTACAATAGTTAACAATTAAAAAATCATGAAGATACATGCTACAATAAATCTTTTGATTCAGAAACACTGTCACTATTACTCTTAATCCTGAATTCATTACTGCCATGATAAGGATCAAAACCAAACCAGTGGCAGGAACCCCACCCCCCCAAAAAACCCCGAAACAAGACATTTCAAAAATTGGAAGGAGACTTAGCACAGTGACATTCAGAGAAGAAAATAAAGGATATAGAAGAAAACAGCCTGTCTGAATTCCCTGTTTACTTTTATAATTAAAACATTATATCTAAAAGATATCCTTCTCTTGACGTAAGTTTTTTTTAGTCTACCAGAGGCTTCTTATCAATCAAACTGAGAGGGAAGCAGTTTCTGATTACAGGTGAAACTCGAAAAATTAGAATATCATGCAAAAGTTCATTTATTTCAGTAATGCAACTTAAAAGGTGAAACCAATATATGAGATAGACTCATTACATGCAAAGCAAGATAGTTCAAGCCATGATTTGTCATAAATGTGATATGGCTTACAGCTCATCCACAATCCACAATCTCAGAAAATTAGAATATTACATGCAATCAATAAAACAAAGATTGT